TTCGCAACTCGGAACCCAGTGCGAGAGGCGAGCGGGGCTGGCCCTCCTGGTCCGCCCTTCGCGGGATCTCCTTTGCAGGGCCGCCAGCGGGTAAGCAGTGCCGTGGTGACTGCGAGTAACTTCCCGGTGCCCCCGCTAGCTGCGGGACCCAGCCCGCACCTCGGACAGCGCCTAACCCTGAAAACTTCTCTACCACTCCAGGTTGGGCCTCTGGAGCCCCACGGCTGCCGAGGCACCGCCCAAGAAGGTAGGATGCATGACTGAGAGGAGGGGATGTCTGCGTGGGTGTGTGCATCTCACCCTGCAGCCAAAATGAAAACTGTCATGTTCCATCCCAGGGTCTCCAACTCCTCCCCAGTTCTCCCTGTTGCCTGTGATTATTTTTTGCAAACAATGTAATGATTTACAGGGACCAGCATCCTCTGGCTTGCACTCTGCTTCAAACTTGTTTGGCTAGAGCAATGTGAACTTTGGACCTCCTTGATCGCCCAAGAGAAGGGTTTGCACTACAGATCGCCTCTAAATCCAATCTGGATGACTTGAAATGTCCAAAAATCAAGATTTTGACTTTTGACTCCTTGAACTACTCTGCACCGCACCACAATAGCATTTAAACAATATCTAGGCCGGTAATGTAGGTGAAGCTGTTTGTTCTTACTCCGAGAAAATTGCTTTTTTAAAGGAGATCTGAAAAAGAAACTATTTTTGGTTGTGAGCCTAGCCTTTAACGGCTGAGCCGACTCTCCAGGACAGAAAAAGATACTTTAAAAACTTTATTTAATTCTCCTAAAAACCAAAGTCAGTGACTCCCGAACACACACACACACACACACACACACACACACACACACACACACACAGGGGTTTTCATTTTGTTTTAATCTCCAGAAAACAACCTCAGCATAAATGGTCTTTAACTGTTGAGTTTCCAGAGCTAAATACCAACACTTTCCTAGGGATTCCCCCTGTACCCACTCCAGAATTTCAGTCTCTCACCCCTGCCCTGCATTGAGCTACACACCTTAGCTGTGCTCCCTGCTTCCAGTTCCAAGCAGTGTCAGGTTTCAGTAGAACTGGTTTCATTTCCCAGTTCCAGGACTGTCCTTGCTGGGCCAGGCAATTCCAAATGAAAGCTGTAGGAGTTGTTGGGGGTGGTTTACTTCTACTGGCAGTTAAGTTCTGTTATGTGTTTACCTGTACAGGAGCCGAGGGGTAAGTGATTGCCTTTTATCCTCATTTTATAACTTCAAAGAGCTGAATGGCTGAGAGGTTAAAGAATTGACTAGAAATTACAAGATCTGTTGAAATTTGAACATAGGCTGCTACAAGCAAGCTGCTGTCCTGCCAAGAAAGAAATACACAGTTTATAAGTGCTTTGGGATATAAGTGATGGATGATCATATGCATTTGATGCTGTACAGTAAAGTGTGCCTGGGTTGTGTTATGCTTCCCTACCAACCGTCTCTTCACCATAGTTGCCAGGATAGACGGTATACCTATCTGTCTATTCATCCAGTCTCTGCAAATCAAAACACAAGATCATTTATAAAAACAAGTAGAATAAAAGGGTAAGATAGTTGCATAAGTATAATAAAGGGAAAATGTTATGTTTTTTATTATTACAAGAGGAACCTAAAATAAGAATATTTGGGAATTTGAATCTTCAGTGTTAATCTTTATAGTCCACATGGGTCCTGACTGGCTCCACTGGCTGCGGTTTGGTGACATGTGCTTAGACGTGTGTATATGTGAGATATATTATATCCATTTTTTGGGTACTGAGTCTTCAAAAGCTGGGGTGTTTACTGTCAGTTTGAGGCAAACATATTTCACAGGCTATGATATATGTGCCTGTACACAGCTTAGTGGCTACCATGTTGAACTCTAGTTGATATGATGTGTTCTCTATTTCTTTCCAGTTCTACTCATTCAGCAAATGCTTACTGAGCACTGACTTATGTGGTATGGAGTTCAGTAGGCCCTAGAAACAGGCAAATACATGAAGTCCCTTCTCTCCCAGAACTCCCATCTAGTGAGAAGATGATTATATATGTGAATGAAGCTATGATGTGCTAGTATTTGGCTCCATGGAAGACCTCTTACCTTTTATCTTTAACATTTTTCTTTTATCTTCTCTCTTTTTTGTTTTGTTTTGAAATAGTGCTAATATTTAGCCCAGGTTAGCCTGGCACTGACAGTCAAGACACTCCTGCCTTGGCCTACTGGGATTGTTGACATTCACCACCACACCCAGCCATGCAAGGGAGCTCATTTGTTTGTTTGATGGTGCTGGGGTCCAGTCCAGTTAGTAGCTGATGCCTTTAATGGATGTAGGATATACACTTATGACTAAGAAACATTTTTTGTCACTCTTATGTCTCTCTCTTCCTCTCTCATACTAAAGACTGAACACAGGATTTTGCATATGCTAGGCAAATGATCAAACACTGGCCATTTTTGTTTGAGACAGACATTAGTCTTGAACTTGGCTGTGTATCCCAGACTGGCCTGGAACTTGGCAGTCCTCCTTCCGACTTCAGCTCTCCTGCAATTACAGGTATATTGCCACAGTTCTGGGGTAAGAATAAGTTCTCAGGTTCCTTCATCCATGGTTGTGGTCATTCCTGAATTCTCTAGTCAAATCTCTATATTTGGTGTGTGCATTTGGTATATCTCCCCATCTGCTTCTTGGATGTTATGAACCAGGATTCTGTCCTTGGACTTCTCTTGTTCCATGTGGATGATGCAATACAGTAGAATTCTGTTTATAGATGTCGGCAGTAAATCACCATGGTCAGTGGGCTGTTGGCCAGCACCTTCTCTGAATTCTTATCTGGTCTTCTTGCCTCTGTTCTCTTTCAAATTTACCCTCCACCGAACTTATGGTGTCAATTTAATCTTCAGGTCTTCTTCAAAGCCTTGATATACATTGCCCAATACTTAACATGTGGCAACTAATGGCTTTTGTACTTTGTCCCCAAATACATTTGTAACTTCTTCTGCAGACATTCTCTGACACTGAACTGGACAATTCATCTATTGTTACCTGGCTGTGGCCCTAACTTTGCTAAATGTTACTTTTACTGTGTCATCCTATGGGGAAAGATCCAATCTTATAATGTGACAAGCTTGTGGTTGGGATTCTTTCCATTTATTTGAGGTGGACTTAATGCTTCTCACTTGACATGTCCAGAGGCTATGCTAATTCTGCTATCAAAGCTCTATAGGGTGCCAAGTATGATAGCAAGAAGTAGTAGCCATAGTAGTCAAGGTTTCTTTTGGTTTCAAACAACAAAACTGCCACAACTCAGGCTTGTCTCAGGTCCTGCTCATGGTAGGGACAGAGATTGAGTGGAAATAGGGATTCGAGATAGCATTAGAGGTTGTATGTGTGTGCCTTTTATATGTGTTCATTCTGTCTCTTCCCTTCTTTCTCCCTTTCTCCTCCTCTCTCCCTATGTTCCCTTACTCCTCATTTCTCATCCTAGAGCTCTAGACTCACATTTCCCAACTTTATGACAGTCCTAGTTGGGAAACCTCAGGAAAATTTTGTGACGAGCTAAGCTTGGATCACAGGTACACTACTTGGGCTTTGTTTGTCATTGTTAGCTTATGAATTACCACAGTGGGTGTCTTAGTTGGGGTTACCATTGCTGTGATGAAAAAACATGACCAAAGCAACTTGGGGAGGAGAGGGTTTATTTGACTTATACTTCCACATCTCAGTCCATTGCAGAGGTAAATTAGGGCAGGAACTCAAACTGGGCAGGAACTGATGCAGAGGCCATGGGGCAGTGTTTTTTGCTGGCTTTTACAGCCTGCTTTCTTATAGCACTCAGGACGACCAGCCCAGGGATGGCATCAACCACAATGGGCTGGGCTCTCTTAATTTTCTGATTAAGAAAATGCCTGTAGGCTTTCCTGCAACCAGATCTTATGGAGGCATTTTCTCAGTTGAGGTCCCTCCCTCTTAGATGACTTTAGTTTGTGTCAAGTTGACATAAAACTAGCCAGCACAGTGGGTGTGCTTGGGAACACTGCCTTTGTAGTCAAGCAGCTAGATCTGGAGACAAACACTATGTAGTAGATTGTTTATGGATTCTTGTAGTAAATACAGTTATGAAAGGAATGCAAGAAACACAGAGAATAAGTCCTGGGCCTAGATTGTGGCACTGGAGGATGGCTCAGGGATTGCTCAGTTGATGGTCTTTCTCCTTCTCAGCCTTTCCACCTCTGCATGCAGACTCTTTTGAGTATCACCTCTTGTCCACATGTTAAAAAGTTTGATTGATCCTAATATTCACTATTATCTCAGTTTGGACAGTATAGAAAATTACATTGTAGCCCCTCAGAAGCTTTGAGTACAGTGCACTTAAGCCTGGACAGGAAGGTTGATGCTGTGTTTCTGCCTTGAGATGCTGAGTTTCTCAAAAGCAGGAAATCCATAAATCCATCATTGTGTCTCCACAGCTTAGCACAGAGTAGTGAGGTGCATAGCAGGAAGGTGTGCTTTTCTGTTTCGGTGCTGAGGGTCAAACTCAGCAACTCACATGTGCTAACTACACAGCACACTCTTCCCCTAAACTGCAACCCCAGCCCAGATTTCTGTTTAAATAGATGTTGATTATTACATGTGAATTGCAGAGTGTTATGATTATTCCCATTGCCAAAGGGACTGTTGACAGACATGAATAGAGTGCACCCATATTCCAAAACCCAGAGGTTACCCAGGGATTCCACTTTAATTTCACTCATGTTGAACATTACAGCTTTCTCTGTGGGTCAGAAATCTTTATTAACATGTATCAGTACTTTAGGGCTGAGGTGACTTTGTTGTCTTCAAAGCTAATCTATCTTAATCACAGCTTCTATTTTTGCTCCCCAAAACAGTATTAGCCCAAAGGACATGTCCCCAGCTTTTCTTTTAGATAAAAGAGGAAGGTTTTTGCAACACTGTCTCTCCTACGTGCCAGGCTCTGTGCTAAACCCCTCATCTAGTTTACCCCACTTAATCTTTACGATGATCCAGAGAAGTCAGCCCCATGATGACCCCCATTTTTCTGGTGGAAGAGCTGAAGCTTAAAGGAATTAAGTCATTTTCCAAACTGGCTTGAGTAGTGGCAGAGCCAGCTTTGAATTTGCTCTCTTACCCAGAGCCCTGGCTCCTGAGTGTCACTGACTCCTAATGAATCAGTGTTAGGATGAGAGAGGGCAAGTGGACATATCCTGGGGAATAGTACAGTGGGACTGGGGAGAGTCTGGGTCTCCATCTGTCTGAGCTCTATCGGTCCTGATTTTCCTTTCCCTGCCAAAATGGGAAAATGATGGTATGCCTGCTTGTGCATCCAAGTAAGAGTTGTAGCCCATGCAGATCTGAAGCTGGAGACGTGGGGGAGGCTGTAACTGGAAAGGTTGTGCTCTGCCTGTCTTACCACTGTGTCTCCAGGATGATAGCCATCTGTAGAGCCTATTTAGTTCATCATTGCATTGGCTCCTCCTAGGCTAGAGAATCAGAGGAAAACCTTTCGTTTATCATACTTTGGTTTTCCACAGCTGGCTTCCCTCAAAAGATGCCCTGCTTTCTGGTACACCAGAGCTCTCTAACAACTCTGCAACAGAGAATTGAGTTGTTAACATATTTCATATTTGGCTTGGTCAGGGTACCCAGAATGCAAAGCCGGGGATGAAAGGGTAAACATCTCTGCGTGTGTGTGAGAGAGACAACTGAAAAGTAAGCAATCCCAACTAATGACCTTTTGCTTTGCTGTCCACAGTCTTGGCCCTGAATTTTGTATTCCAGAAATCCCCAGGTATGTAATAATAGCTGTTTAGAAAGTCTGTTTTGAGGGCTCCCACTTGGGAGGCAAATGGATCTCTGTGAATTCAAAACTAGCTTGGTCCATATAGTGAGTTCTGGATCAGTAAGAGCTGCAAAAGTGAGACCCCTGTCTCAGAAACAAACAAAAAGTCTGCCTTGGGATATGGAGCCAAGTGGGAGAAACAAGTGAATTGTTAACATATGCTATAATTAAATGTGATCTTTTCCATAAGTTAAAAAATACAACTGAAGTTTATCCAGATATATAAAGGGCTCCATTATGGGAAAATCAATCCTATAACTAGGTAACCTAGAAAACAACAACAACAAAAAACCCTCAGAGAAAACATTAAACTTCTAAGTATTAATAAATGCATACAAATATTTGTGAGATAAAAATTAAAATGTGGGACTGGTGAGATGGCTCAGCAGTTAAGAGCACTGGCTATTCTTCCTGAGGACCTGGGTTCAATTCCCAGCACCCACATGGCAGCTCACAACTGTCTGTAACTCCAAGATGTGAAACCCTCACAGAGATACACATGCATGCAAAATACCAATGCAAATGAAATAAAAATAAATTATAAAAATAAAATGTATCATTGGAGAAATAAAAGATCAATTTGTACTGTTATATTTAAATCATACATGTTTATATATATATATGATACTTAATATTTAAATAACACTTAAATGAAGCATTAATCTAATTAATCTTAATAAAAAAATCAGGAGTCAAATATTGGGATAAGAACCTGGAAGATCAGAGAGCCCAGTTGCCCCAGTTGCCTTCTACCTCTCTCCTTCCTTATTTCAAAGAGGCTGGAGACCCTTTCTCCACCCCACCCTATCACTTCCCATCTACACCTCCCACACGCTGGAATTAAAGGCATAAAGCACCACCACCCAGCTTCTGTGGTTAACTAGTGGCTAGTTACACCCTCTGCTCTCCAGGCAAGCTTTATTTGTCAGAACACAAATAAAACATCGAACAACACTTAAATATTTAAATAATTAGTAAAATTCCATGTCCTGAATATGGAACCTTCCACCTTCCTCTGGCTCACATCTATTTTAAAATATCTTTCATGGCACCAGCAAACTGGACGGTGGTAGCGATTGACTTATTTATCATGTTTTAGTTTGTGGAAGTTGGGGAGATAAGTGTAAGTTTAAATGAAGTTATGATTTCCAGGGTCAGGTCTGTGGGAGGGGTATCCTAGGCCTGCTATTGACTTTATTGTAGTCTAGACCTAGAATTAAAGATAATGAACCAAAAAGGTAATAGAACTAGGGAATTGTTCGAAACATCACCACTGTCCCATGCTGAATCATTTCTGCTGCTCTGTTTAAATGGACTCCAAGGGGAGATAAGAAGAGAGTTGGTTTCTCTAGACCAGTGGCTCTCAACCTTCCTATTGCTGTGACCCTTTAATACATAGTTCCTCCATTATTTTTGTTGCTAATTCATAATTGTAATTTTGCTACTCTTATGAATCATAATGCAAACATCTGTGTTTTCCAATTGTCTTAGGTGGGCCCTGTAAAAGGGTCATTCCATTCCCAAAGGGGTCAAGACCCACATGTTGAGAAACAAACTTCATTTCTTAGCCCAGATGGATCCATGCTTAACAGCCTGCTAATGGTTTTGTGGTTCATTTCATTTGTGTTTACATTTATACAAATATTTAGAAATTTACAAAGCAAATATCTGTTCCTTTCTTTTGCAGAAACTACCTAGACAAAAAAGATATTATAAAGGTAAAGGATACGGGGCTGGGATGTAGCTCGGTATAGTGATTGCCTAGCATGCAAACCGGAAACCCTGCTTTCAGCCCCAACCTCCATAAAGTGGTGGTGGTGATACACGCCTGTCATACTTGCCCTTGGAGTTTTGGGTTATGTGCCTACCTTTTTAATGGCTGAACCATTTCTCCACCTCAATCCTAACACTTGGGAGGTGAAAGCAAAACTTTCAAAAGTTCAGGGTCATTCATGGCTACATAGTAAGCTCAAGGCCAGTCAAGGATGCATAAATATGCCTTGTCTCAAAAGAGTAAATAAATGAAATGTATAATGCTGGAGGTTTTGTTCTTTTTGGGTTTTGTTTTTGTTTTGTTTTTAGAATGCTTTGGGTCAGCTTTACCATCAGTTTATAAATTTTAAAAATAATTTGCTTTAGTATATATTACACAATAGAAATATTTATATAAGGGCTCCTAATATACTTTTTCCAAATACTTCAAACTAAAATAATTCTAGTTTTCCTTCCTGCTTCTATTTTAGGCACCAAAAAGCAGACAGAATGGCACATTGCTAGTGTTTGACCCAAAGGGTAAATGATTTATTTCTTAGAATGTGTTTGACCATGATCTTGTTCTGAATATTAGTTAAGGAGAATATTGGAATGGTTAGATGTGGTTTCATGACTCAACAGTAAACCCTCTGTTGTCTATCTTTCAAAAAAAACTTAACTATTTCTTAAATAAAATTTTATGTTAGGGATAGCACTGTTGAAAAAATACTAAATATTTTTTTCTTTTCTTTCAGAAAAAGTGATGATTGGCCCAAATAAATCACTGTCACAGTAAGAAAATGTATTTGGCCTTGCCTTTTAAGTAATTAGAAGTAGATAATGCAAACCATTTATCACCTAATTAAACTTGCAAAGTCGGATTGCATGGGTGAGCTTCAACTGTTACTAGAGTAGAGAGATATTTAAGAAGAAAACTGAACTGTGATAAAAGTGAAGTATAGGTGAAACTCACTTCTGCCTAATGCTTAAACGAAGGGCTTTCTGGCTACGCTGTCTTTTGTTTAATTTCCACTGCTCTTCCCTGTTTCCTTTGATACTGCTTCCTTCTTTAGATCATCTCTGTCAGTGAACACTTACTTTGAAATTAGTATTCTTATCTCATTTAACATGCATCGTTAGTCCTACGTAAAGGAAAAAAAAAATCACCTTGAACAGTTGAAGAAACTGGAATTTGAAAATCACAGTGTGTATCAATTGAATTGCTGACTATGAGGTATTAGCTCCATTCACAACATCCAATACTTGATTAAAGTCCTTTATGATATAATCATTTCCTAGGTTCTGGGGGAAAATATATTATTTACTCTATGAAAAACTACACTTTGAATATTGACCTTAAAACAAATTCCTAGGGCTGGAGAGATGGTTCAGCAGTTAAGAACCTCTTCCAGATTTGATACCCCGCACCTACATGTTGGTTCACAAACATCTGTAACTCCAGTCCCAAGGAATACAACAGCCTCTTCTGGCCTTTTGGGGCACTGAGCATATATGGTACACAGATTCTTGCAAGCCTGACCTCCTCAGTTCAGTTCCCAAAACACACATGGTTGAAGGAGAGAAACAACTCTCAGGAATGCATATGTATCAGTGGTTCTAAAATTTCCTAATGCTGCAACCCCTTAAATACAGGTTCTCTTATTGTGGTGACTCCCAACCATAAAATTATTTTCATTGCTACTTCATAACTGTAATTTTGCTGCTGTTGTGAATTGTAAATATCTGATATGTAGGTAGTCTTAGTAGAACCCTGTTTCTCAACCCCTTGGGTCAAATATTGAATATCATCTTGAATATTATTGGCTGAGAAAAATTCTACTCCATGCAACATATATTTTAATTTCCATATTGTAATAGCTGAAGTAGTCTTCAGTTTCCTTGCATCTTTGTATATCATATAAATATAATACTTTAAAAAATCTTGAGTGGACATGGTGCTGTCTACCTTTAATCCCAGCAGCCAGGAAGCAAAAGCAGGCAGATCTCTGAGTTTGAAGCCAGCCCTATCTACAGAGTGAGTTCTAGGACAGCCAAGGCTACACAGAGTAACTCTTGTCTCAAAAAAAAAATAATAAAAAAACAAAAACAAACAAAAAAGCCAAACTTGTATTTATGCAGGGAGTGACGTGAGCCATATGTGTGAAGGGCAGGAGACTATTCAACTACTAGTTGTCTCTCCTCTTGTCATGTAGGTCCTGGGGCATAAACTCAGCTCATCAGGCTTGGCAGGCTTTACCAGCTGTGCCATCTCACCAACCTGTATACTTTGTATCAAAGAGAAAGTAGTATGTAACAGAACAATATCAGAGGACTTACATTTGTTTCAAATTAAAGTTACAGTTCACCAGAAAAAAAATCTGTATAAAGCATTTCCATTTACATACACATAATTCTATATATCCTGTTATCACATAGCTGAAAGCATACCCAGAAAGCACGGGATGTGACGTTCAGTGGTAACGGAGGTTAACAGGTCATTCATTGGTGAAAATAAGTGAGTGTTGTGTCTGTTAGCCCTGCTGCATTGGTTGCTTTTCTTGTTGCTGTGACAAAATAAACACCTGACAAAGCAACTTAATTAAGAAAGGGTTTATTCTGTGTCACAGTTAAATACACTACATCATGGCTGAGGAAGAGGCAGGGCAGCAGGATTGTGGGGTGGCTAGTCGAACTTCGTGCAGTCAGGCGATGAATGAGGTGCTAGCTTGCTTTCTCCTTTTCATTAAGGCCTGAGATCCAGCCCATGTGATAGTGCTGCTCATATTTAATAGCTCTTTTTTACCTCAGGTAACTCAATCTATAAACTCCCTCCTAAGTGAACCCAGAGGATTGTCTCCTAGGTGATCTACAGACTGTCAAATTGACATTCGGGAGATTGGGTGCCTTAGGGCTGATATGGCTGTAGACAGCAATCAGGACTAGCCATCACAGCCAGTGTTCATAGACAAACAGTGCTGAGCAGGGGTGAAACCCAGCAGAAGTGAGCCACATCCCGAGAGAGGCGCAGCCCAGGAAGTCATTGCAGCCTGGACCCAGACAGAAAAGCAGAGGGACATGTCTCTCGGTCCCCATCACATTTGACTATGAAACTACCTTTTGCAAGAACAGCCTGGTCAGGTTTCCCTGTGCTCATTCAGGGACAAGAGCAAGGCTAGTAAATTCAGCCAGTGAGCTTCACAGATGTGTGATGTGACCACCCAGGCCCCTTACCAAAGGTGAGGGTAAAAGGATTTAGTGTTTGAAGACAAATCATAGTAAAATAGAAACTTTGGGTACCATAGCTCAGAGAATTAACTTACGCAAACTGTGAATTTCTCAGTGGAGCTTCCCATCCACTTTCATCCCATTGTTGGCTCCACCTACTGACTGGCTTGTCGGATTTGGTTAAGTGAAGACCCCACCTGTGCTAGGTTAGAGGAAACTGTCTTTCTTCCTTCCCCTGTTCCTGGTCTTCACTCCTGTCCCAGCTAGAGGGAAAATGGCTGCAGCAAATCCACAGTTCTTTGACCACAGTTGAAGAAATGGTATCTGTGGGTGTTTGTTGCATAACGGCAGTATGCTATAAACCTTTTATAAGATGAATGATAAGCTGTTTTTTTTTCCTTTCTGCCTCACTTTTAAGAAAATGCTGCTTTGTACGAAGACCGAGATTGGCGAGCAAGCTTTATAGTTCCCCAACACAGATCTCCCTGGGTGTGGCTAATAAGTTCTCAGCAAAGTAAGATTTAAATCATTGTTGGTTTGGGCCCATGGTTGATTATTATAAACCATTTAAGACAGAATTTAAATTATAAGTTTTCTGAAGACACAACTAATAATAATTGGGGAACATTTCCTTAAATATACAGAATAGTCCTTATAAATTAAGGAAAATTTATGATTTCTACCTTCCCATAGCTTTCAAAACTACTTAATACCTTCCATGTATGTATAATAAAATTTGAAATCTTTCCTCTGTTGTCACTGTTTTGAAGCCAATGAAACTGTTTTCTTAAGTGGTTAGAGTCCTTATTACGGTGAACATCATTTTCTTCTCAAAAGGAAGTCAGTAAGGTGTTTTGGGGGGCCATTGTTTGTTTGCTTGGCTGGTTTTGTTTGTTTGTTTGTTTGAGACAGGTTCTCACTAGGTAGCTCAGGTTGTCCTGGAACTCACTATGTAGACCAATTAATCCTCCAAATCATAGAAACCCACCTGCCTCTGCCTCTCTTGTGCTGAAATTAAAAGCATGAGCCACCACACCTGGCTAAAGTCAGTAGGTTTAATTGGAGACAAGGCTGCATTTCTTGCCTCTGGTTCTTTGAATGTCTGTGCTGTAGACTCTACAGGAAATGAGAAGAAAGGGGCTTTGTGCTTCACTGTTAAACTGGTGATTGGGTCAGTTCTCAGGCAGGTTTTGGTCATGGGTGTTGTTGGCATGGTTGATGCTTGCAACAGTAGCATTCCATGCAGCCACAGGACAGTGAACTTGTCACCTGCCTCCACATGTGTTTAGGGTTAATCAGAGCATTTTGAATGACTCAGTCCTCAGAACTGTGCTTGTTAATTTCCTCCTCAGGGATGTAAGTTAGTGGATCTGCCAGCATCCTGCTGCACAGAATCTTAGACTTATACTGTCTTGTTGATTTCAGTTAATGCCAGCTTCAGCAATGTCTCGCTTCTCTTGATGGTACATAAAACAGTGTCTGATAATAATGGCATGTAAGAGTCAACAAAATACTGTCATTCAGTGGAGAAAAGGGCATGAAAGCCCTTTTTTAGAGCTGATATGACTAAGTTCTGGTGATCAGTTTTATGGCATCCTAGCAACAATCCTGCCATCCCAGGAAATTGAAGACGTCAGTAAGTTCTCACTATCAAGTTTCTTAGTTGATGCACTGATATAATTAGAAGGCTAAAGGGTGAGATGCAGAACAAACATAAATCGTCTTCCCTTGCCTTCTTTAAGTCCAGAGAAGAGTGTGTTGGTTTGGCTCTGATGACATTTTTATCTCTTTCTGAAGAAGTTTTCAGGTTAGTGTACAAAGTATGAGGTTTTGTCATGATGTCTTCACTCATGTGTCATAATTTGTTCTCAGTTATTCCTCTTTACCATGGCTACCTCTCACCCCCCTACAGCTTGTTCCCTTTCTTTTCCCAGTCAGCCTCCCTTTCTACTTTTCTTTTCCATGAATTTTTGTGGTGATACATTGTTTATGATATAACAAATAAAGCTTGCCTGGAGATCAGAATGCAAAGCTAGCCACAGCCATAGAAACTGAGCAGTAGTGGTGCACACCTTTAATCCCAGCACTCAGGAAACAGAGACATATGGATCTGTGAGTTCAAGGCCACCCTGGGCTACATGAAAGTGAATCATTCTAAAAGAGAAACAGTTCACATCTTTAATCCCAGCACTAGGGAGGTGGAGATAGGAGTGATGTGGCTGGGCACTAGAGAAGAATATAAGGCGGGTGGAGACGGGAACTCATTGCAGTCTCAGTGAGTCTGTGCAGCTGTTCAGCCTCAAGCAGTCTGAGGTTTGGTCACCCCTTTGGTCTGAGCATTGGTAGAGGTAAGAACTCTCTAGTGGCTTGACTGCTTTGCTTCTCTGATCTTCAGCTTGAACCCCAATATCTGTCTCTGAGTTTTTATTAAGACCAACTAGAATTCGTGGTACATATTTTATTACTCAATTCCTACTACTCTTGAGATGGCTTTCTTCCCCTTCTAGTTTCATAATCTGTGAACACATGAATAAGCACACACAGACAACGCAACAATTTTAAACTTGGGTTCTGCGTCTGAGAGAAAACATTCAGTATCTGTCTTTCTGATTCTAGCTTATTCCCCTTAACACAGTGACTTCCAATGCATCTATTTTCCTACAAATGTTATGATTTCATCTTTCTTGAATGACATAACTTATTTATCTGTTTACTTATTTATTTACTTGCTTACTTTGGTTTTTCAAGACAGTGTTTCTCTGTGTAGCCCTGGCTGTCCTGGAACTTGTTTTGTAGACCAGACTGGCCTCAAACTCAGAGATTCACCTGCCTCTCTACCTCATAAGTGCTGGGGTTAAAGGCATGCACCACCACCTCTTAGCTGGTGCATAACTTATTTGTTTGTTTGTTTGTTTGTTTGTTTTTTGAGAATGATTTCTCTGTGTAGTCCTGCCTATCTTGGAACTCACTCTGTAGACCAGGCTGGCCAGAGAATCATCTGCCTCTGCCTCCCAAATGCTAGGATTAAAGGTACACATGCCACCATGCCTTGTGTATATGCACCATGTATTTTCTTTACCTGTTCATCCTGTCTTAGTTAGGTTTACTATGCTGTGATGAAACACCATGACCAAGGCAACTTAGGAAAGAAAGCATTTTATTGGGGACTTGCTTGCAATTTCAGAGGGTGAGCCCATGACCGTATTATGGGGGCAGCATAGCAGCAGGCAAGCCAGAATGGCACTGGAGCTGTAGCTGAAAGCTCATATCTGATCCACAAGTTGCAGGCAGAGAGAAAGCAAGGTTGGGCTTGGCATGGGCTTTAGAAACCTCAAAGTCCATCTTCAATGGATACCTCCCCAACAGCACCACATCTCCTAATCCTTCTCAAACAATTCCACTAACTAGGAACCAAACATTCAAACATATGAGTCTATGGGGCCATTCTTACTCAACCCACCACAAATCCATTGATGAATATTGGTTCCATTACCTGACTATAATGAATAGTGCAGTAACAAACAAATATGGATGTTGAGTATCTCTGGGGTTTGATGGCTTAGAATCATCTGGGTAAACAGCCAAAAATGGGGTAAAGGCTCCATTCTTGTCTCTTCTAAGGAGCATAACAAGCTGGTCAACCCAGTTGTAAAGTCATAACCCCAGGGCTGGCAAGAGGGAGCATAAGGTAAAGGAATTGGGTGATTTTCTCACTAGCACAGGTGTGCTTCTCTGTGACTGGAGTGGTGTATCCAGAATGCCTTGTCTCCTTGTGCTGTTTTTAGCATGTAAAAGCTAAAGAGGCTGTTTTATGACTGTGGGGTTAGTATTAGTGCTGGTACCTCACTGAAAGAATAGCACTTGGAAAGAGCATGCGTCTGTTTACATTTTTTAAAAACCATTCAAGGCTGATTTCCTTCAAGGTTTTATGTCACCACATCTCGATAAACAGAAAACATTTCCACAAGTGATTCTCTTCCATGCTCTTTGTTGGAACCCTGAAAAGATCTTATGAATTGTTGTACAATAATAAGTGCCAAGCAGAAATAGATTTTCATGAGCAATGAAAATTATATTTTTCTAAAAGACAACATTCTATTTAAGTCCATGTTTGGTATATTATATTATGATTTTCTTTGAAACGTAGTAGGCACTTCAATGTTCAAGTGTTTATGAACATTGAACATTGAAGGGCACTATGCCTGACGAGATGTTTCACTGTCTGCTTTAACGGTTAGAAAAGAAGCCTCTTCAAAGAAGATGGAAGATAAAGTCTCTTTTAAAAGTACTGAAAACAGACCATCTTCCAGGAGTATTAAAAAAAAGGATGTCTTAACAAGTTGGCAGTCTGACCTGTGGTCATCTTCCTTCCTAACAGAAATTGCAGGTAACAAATAGCATGTCTTAATGGACTGAATTATGTTGGCTTTGGTTCTGCCCGACTGTCCATGACCTTTTGGACATGAGTTGACTTCACTGTCTCTCTAAGGTGAGTCAAAGGAAGCATTAATTGTTCAAAGTCAATATACTGGGTTATTTGATGTACAACCAGAAAAGCATCTATGGATAAATATTATATAAGATGATCATTACAGAGTATTAAATCCTAGATTGGATTAAAACACTATGACAGCTTTCCAAGCCAGAGTGCTGGTACCAGCTTAAAATCTGGATACAGTTGTCAAAGCAGACATTGACCTTTCTCTTAGGAAGTTCACGGTCTACAGGGAGATAGTTGGCCAGTTCTTTAAAAGAAAGTGCTCATCGGTTGAAGAATAGATACGAAGAAGATGTTGCTTACTTACATAAAGGAATAGTTTAGACATTAAAAAGAAATAAAATGATGTCATTTACAACATGGATGGAACTGAAGATCTCTATATTAAATGAGTCAGCCAGGCAGAGAAAGACAGTGCTAAAATCACTCTCATCAGTGGAACCAGTGGTTAAGCCTGGAGAGAGGGTTCTGGCTATTTATAATAGCCCGAACCTGGAAACAACCTAGATGCCCCTCAACTGAAGAATGGATAGAGACAATATGGTACATTTACACAATGGAGTACTACTCAGTGGGAAAAAAATGGAATCTTGAAATTCGAAGGCAAATGGATGGAACTAGAAGAAACCATTCTGAGCGAGGTAACCCAGTCACAAAAAGACAAACGTGGTATGTACTCATTCATATGTGGATTTTAGACATGGATTAAAGGATTACCAGCCTACAATCCACACTGCCAGAGAAGCTAGGAAACAAAGAGGGCTCTAAGAGAGACATACTCTGGAGAAGAGGAAAGGGACAATATCTCCTGAGCAAATTGGGAGCGTGGGGGGGGTAGGAGAATGATAGGGGGAGAAGAGGAGGGGTGAGGAAGGTATGATGGGGTAGGGAGGTTGAGTTGAGGGAAGAACAGAAGAGAGCAAGATAAGAGATAATATAATAGAGGGAGACATTATAGGTTTAAAGAGAAATCAGGCACTAGGGAAATGTCTGGAGAGCTATAAAGATGATACCAACTAACAATCTAAGCAATAGAGGAGAGGCTACCTCAAATGCCCTCTCCTGATAATGAGATTGATGACTAATTCATATGACATCGTATAGCCTTCATCCAACAGCTGGTGGAAGTAGAAGCAGATACCCACAGCTAAACCTTGTGCTGAACTGGAATCCAGTTGCAGAGGAGGAGGACTGATGCGCAAAGGGATCCACACCAGGCTGGTGAAACCCACAGAAACAGCTGACCTGAACAAGGGAGAGCTCTTGGTCCTCAGACCGATACCTAGGAAGCTGGTATCAGCATGGGACTGATCCAGACCCCCTGAATGTGGGTGTCAGTGAGGAGACCTTAGAAATCTATGGGGGCTCCTGTAGTGGATCAGTACTTAACACTACCATAGGAATGGACTTTGGGAGCACATCCCACATGGAGAGACACTCCCTGAGCCTAGACACAAGGGGGTTGGCCTAGGCCCTATCCCAAAGAATAAGACAGATTTTTGAAGACCCCCTATGGAAGGCCTCGCCCTCCCTTGGGAGAAGAAAGGGTATGGGATAGGTAGAGTGTTGGGGGGGCAGGGGAGGAGGGGTAGGAGAGGGACATGGGATTGACATGTAAAATAATTTTCTTTCTAATTAAAATTTAAAAAAATGGATAGAGGGTTACTACAATCCGGCAGGAAAAGCAAGAAAGTAGGGCTCAGGAAAAACCAGTCAGTACAGGTTAGAGATAGGAGTCGAGTCTGATGTGTGGTAAACAGTAGGATGACAAGAAACAAGGAAATGGTTCTATTCCAAAAAATTAGACTGATGGAGTTTGTTTAGCCATAAGGAAGTGACAGGTTTCATGCATCAAAACATTACATGGTATTCATGAATACGTACTTTTTTTTTTTTTTTGAGACAAAGTTTCTCTGTGTAGCCTTGGCTATCCTGGAACTTGCTCTGTAAACCAGGCTGGCACCAAACTCAGAGATCCACCTGCCTCTGCCTCCAGAGTACAGGGATTAAACATGTTCACTACCATGCTCAACTGAATGTAATTTTTATCAATCACTTTAAAAATAAAAATTTTAAACAGCAATGTGAAACACCAACATGAAAGAATTTGAGGCTATAAGAGGGGCCACAGTGAAATTAACAGCTCCCAGGAGAGAATACTTTGGACTCAGAGATTAGGAAACTTCTTTACAATGCTGAGTGTCTGTGAGTTGAATGGGTCCCTCCCTGTGATGTCACGGGATGTTCTTGCTCACCCATTATGACCTTCCTTTGATGACATCAGTATGAAGAGTTGGTACAGAAACCAGGTGTGCTCTGGAGAGTTAGGAGGTCGCGATTCCATGGAGACTGTGGATGAGAAAAAAACAGGTAGATGGGTACTCTCAGAAGATCTAGTGGCGTGTTTCAGGCTGGCATATTTGACCTAGAGTTGGTTTTATATTTTTTTTCTGGTCTGTGTTTTCCTAGCCTGTCTTCTCTGGTGCTCTTTACTGAAAGTCATCTTTATCTTTTCTATGTAGAGTACCTCATAGTCATGATCTCATCAATGAAGAGACTCCATAGATACAATCTTTTGAGAAGGGGGTCTAACTAGTTGAGTCTGAACCTATGAAAGACCACACAAAGCCAAAGGGACATCCCATAGTGCTTCCCACAGGGGCACATTAGATGAAACAAAGTAAATACTCTTTTTAATTGCCCTAATAGTACATTTTAATATAGGATGTAATTAAGAGTATCAGTTCTAGTCAAACTGACTCCCAGACCAAGTGGGATTGCTACATGAACTTGAGTAGGGGTTGTTTCACCTTTGTACCTCCTGTTTGTTCATTAGGGGAATGTAATATGAAATAGTAATAGAAACACTACCCAGCTGGAGACACAGCTCAGTGGGTAAGAGCATTGGCTGATCTTCCAGAGGACCCCAGTTCAATTCCCAACACCCACATACTGTCTATAACTCCAGTTCTAGGGGATCCAACAGCCTAGACATGAATACAGGCAAAACACCAGTGCACATAAAGTAAAAGGAACCATCTCAAAGAACAATAACTAAAATTATAAAGAAAGGAAAGAAAAACACTACCCATCTCACTGGGATGTTGACAGAAATAAATGAGCTACTATGTGTATAGCCGGGAGCAGTAATCATGTTTTTTTGTGTGCTGATTGTTTTTATTAATATATTGGTTTCACAGATGCTAATAGGATCTAGTCCAATTTAGCATCTAAGCTTTCCAGTGTTGATTGGTTATGTGTGCTCTGTTTAAGGGGAAGCAGGCAAGGATGCAATCCTTGGGAAGCAAGATAAAAGTAGTGAGTATTTCCTTGAGGACATTGAGGAGAAGCTGTCGGATTCAACAGACGGCGATGGTGATGATGACACAAATGATGATGATGACGAAGGCCCCACTAAAAAGGAGACCCGTGCCCCACTAGAGTTAATGGCAGAAGTAAGTGTTTACATGTGTATTATAACTAAAGAAGCATACGGTACTCGGGAGGCAGAGGCAGGCAGATCTCTATGAGTTGGAGACCAGCCTGATCTACAGAGTGAGATCCAGGACAGCCTTACACAGAGAAATCCTGTCTCAAAAACTCCAAAAAAGAAAGAAACATATAGGGCTGGAGAGATGGCTCAGTGGTTAAGAGCACAGACTGCTCTTCCAGAGGTCCTGAGTTCAATTCCCAGCAACCACATGGTGGCTCACAACCATCCGTTATGAGATCTGGTGCCCTCTTCTGGTGTGCAGATATATATGGAAGCAGAATGTTGTATACAAAATAAATAAATAAATAAATAAATAAATAAATAAATAAATAAATGAATAAAATCTTAAAAAAAAGAAAGAAGCCTATAAATACCAAAGTCATTAAATGGGATATTATGTTATTAAGTAGAGCAAATTAGTTATTAATATACTTAGTAATTGTTTGTTATTAATAATAATTTAGCATTATTTAATTAGTATGTATTTATTTTAAATTAGCCTATTTCTTTGAGGTACCATATCTCCCTAAACCTAGAGCTTCCATCTTCTTGGCTAGGCTGGAAGCCAGCAAGCCCCAGAGATCCTCTTGTCTCCATCTCACCCCACCCACACCCAGAGCCAGGGTCACAGGTGTGAACAGAACTCATGGCTTGTTTCATAAGTTCTTAGATCAGAACCCTGGTCCTTACGCTTGTGACGAAAGCACTAGTAACTACTGAACTCTCCATCCAGTCCCCAGAACTTAGTTGTAGATGCTTCAATGGCAGCTAAAAGTGTATGAAGATTCAAGGAAGAAAACTAAACATTAACATCAGAACCTGGAAAAATTACAAACAAAACCAGAGCTGAAAAAGCTAGTTAAAATTCAAACGAGTTATTATATCAATATCCTGCATACATTTGAAAATATGTAGATAAACCAATGCATATCATAATTAAGATGAAAGCAGAAAATCCTATGCCTGGTAGCCCATGCCTGTGATCCCTGGTCTTAGAAGGTAAGGGCAGGAAGAATAAGAATTCAGTTGTCCTCTGTTACATAGTGTGAGGCTAGCCTGGGCTACTTGAGATATCATCTCAAAAAGAAGTTAAAAAAGTAAAATATAGCTACAAACAGGAATGAATATAAAAATGTTGGAGCTGGATAGATGGCTCAGCAGTTAAGAGCACTTACTGATTTTGATGAAGACCTGAGTTTGGTTCCTACTTGTGTACACCCACCTGGCAGCTCACAACTGCCTGTAACTTCCAGGGCTTCTGATACCCAATTCTTGACTCTGCGGGCACATGATGCTCACACCTACATGCAGACACTCACATATCCACATAAAATAAAAGTAAAATTAAATTAAAATCTTAACCTTGGATAACAACAGAGATTTTTATAGTAAGAATTCTTTTTTTAATTTTTTTAATTTAAATTAGAAACAAGATTGTTTTACATGTCAATCCCATTCCCTCTCCCTCCCCTCCT